TAAAATGAAATATTAAAAACACGATGTATCTCGCTGCATTGCGCGAGTACGCTTCTAGTATCTAAAAGTAGATTTATTGTTTACACAAATTATACATCATTTTTATAGATTTGGTGTAGAATTTGATGTTATCCATTGGAGATGTCCTTAAATAACGATCAAAAATATATTGAGAATTACTTAGAGGTCGTTTACCAAGTTAAATTAAACACTATTATTTATTTACCAGATAAAATTTTAGTCCACCAAAACGATATCGTATGCAATAATTTACCAGGTAAGCGCTTACCATGGTAAGAGTCGTCGCCCTTACTTACCGGGTAAGATTCATGGTCTTTGTCTCGCTCTTACCGGGTAAGATTATTGGTCCTTACCATATTCATTAGGTGAGGTAACATGACTTGGTAAGCGCTTACTCGGGTAAATATTTGGTAAACGGCACTTAAATGACCTTTTATTCTTTGCTCCCAAATTTTTAGGAGTCGTTTACTAAACACTTACCCAGTAAGCACTTATCGGTAAAATTTAACACTATCATTTACTTATCGGGTAAGATTTTAGTCAACAAAAATGGCATCATATGCAACGCTTTTACCAGTAAGCGCTAATTGTGGTAAGAGTCACTGCCCTCACTTACTGGGTAAGACTCTCGATCCTTATCTCGTTTTTACCGGATAAGAGTTTTTGTCCTTGCCTTATTTATTCAGTAAGATAATCTAACTTGATAAGCGTTTACCCAGGTAAGAATTTGGTACACGGCCCCTTAATCCATATCAAGACACAAATTGTTGACAATGCCAATCGGCAAGTGTAAATTCGTTTGGACAAGGGATTGGTAAAGAAAAATTTATCCATTTGAAAACATCTTACATAAATACTACTATATTATGAAAATTATAATCATATTTTTTTTAATAAAAGATCGTAAAATAAAAATCGCAATGAAAAGCGTTCGTTGTCTAATGAAGATAATGACCAGAAATCCAAAGAAGTCTTTGAATCAAAATACGAGGCAGCAGCCTCGGTCGATAAGGGTCTCGACCGCTCCATCACTCACGCCACGACTCATCTCTCTCGACCATCGGCCTCTTCTTCAAGACGAACTCTCTACTCTCGTCGCTCTACCCTAGACCGGCATCACCGACGGTCGGCGCTCAATCGCCAACGGCCAATCGGCCTCTCGACTCTCTCTATGAACTCTCGACTCTCTCTGCCGCTCTGCGATGCGACACTGACATGGTAAGGGTTGTTGCTTGTTAGTTGTTACTCCTTTAATTTATCTTAAGGTAGACCGTAGACGATGCATATGACTTATAAGTTATAAACTTAACAGAATTTAGAAACATAAAATAACCCTAAGTCAATAATTTGTCCTGCTTGTTTATTCTTAGTGCACCCATGACCTATTTAAACCATTTTCACACTTTTAATGGTGGCTGGTGGGTGCCATTAAGGAAACGCTGTATCTTGTAGAATGTGCATTTTGTTCGGTGAATAGGAGTTTTAAAGATGTATTTGTATGAAAGATGAGCACACATAGAACTTTATTAGCGTTAAAAACTATTCATATAATCTATTATGAACAGAGGAGCTAAATTTATCTATTTGTCCATTATCGTCATCACATCATATTCATTGCATCAATTATGGTCCATAAGATTCCTCAATCTAGCATATCCTTGTAGAGTATTTTAGGGAGAAACATGCTGACTGAATCAGCACTGGCGTTTTTAATTATCAAACGTTAAGAGCTTATTAAACATAAACTAATTTCTTAAGTCAAATGTTACAAGATGTTATGGAACAAAGAGAACATTAATAATACTTTAGGATGACCTAGAAGAGTAGAAAAGTAAAATACTCTTTTCAACAATTGAGCATAATTTCTTAACTAGAATACACTAAGACATCCGACTCTTGCACTGCTTGCAGTGGCACATTTCCTTTTGAGAAAACTCACATCAAAACCAATTCAATCTTAGGGATTAAGTGCATATGCTTTTGTAGTGTTGGATAGTTCACCTTAATAAAATTTTATGTTGGTCCTATAGGTTGTCTTTACTTGTTATTTCTTGATAGTGCTCAGTTCTCCGACTCTTTAGAATTTAACTTTATGTTTACCGTTTAAATATATATAATCTATAAGTTGTATGAAGGTTTTACTTAAAACCTTTTCCGGCTGCTGGGGGGCTGTTTCTGTTTTGGGGGTTGTTCAAGGGATGTTTTGGGGGCTGTTCAGGGAAATCCTTGGACATCAATACAAATTATGGAGTTTGCAAAGAAGATGGACATGTTTCCACGTGTCTTGCTTGCTTACAAGATTCTATTGATCGTACCAGTCACTGTAGCATATGCGGAAAGAAGTTTTTCGAAGTTAAAGTTGTTGAAATCATATCTACGGTCTACCATGAGTCATGAAAGATTGAAGGTTAGCAATCTTGAG